AAAGGAGCCAGGGGCTCCTCCCAAGCCCATGTGACCCCTGAGGAATGGATCTTCAAATGACCTTAAGAGTAAAAATAAATTGGTTTATTTTGGCTAATTGTATGGTCTTAAACACCCAAAAGGAAAGTATAACCAAAGATTAAAGGGGTCAATATAATTTTTAAGAGTCCATATGTATACCTAAAGGCTGCATAACAAGAAACAATGCCAGATAGGAGATTCCTTCCTTTGAGTTATTGGCTAGGGTGGCCCAAGAGACTCCCAGACAGTAACCCAGCACAGAAATGGGAAAATGAACAGCAGACCCCAATCTTAGTTAAAGGCATACTGACAACTGATTGCTGCTAGATGAGGAAGAACTGATCTTCCTACAACAAGGATCTCTAGATAGGCTGACTAGATTCAGCAGATGGACAAGCACTGGGGAATGGCTGGGGGTGCTGCACACACAGTGGACAGTAACAGGGATGACAGAGTATATGGGCTCCAGTGTGTGTGTGTGGGGAGACTATGGGAGGGTGCCATTTGGGAAGTGGGTATATAGATGAATAAGATTGTGTGGGATGTTCTTGTGTGATATACACACAAAACAACAAATTAAAGAAAAAGACATATTTGAGGAGGAAGCATAAAAATTTACGTCATGTTAATTAGAGGTGATAAACATTACCATTGAAATCTACCTGATGACTTCATATCCATACTCAGGTGCCAAGGATCCAAGTGTAACCGACTGTGACTGGTAATCAGATATATAGAGATTAAAGACACATGTGCAAACATCTAAGTGTTAGTAGCATTAAAAATGTAGGAAACAGCATATTTTAAAATGAAATGGAGATCTTTGAAGGGTAAAAATGCATTCAATTTTATGTCTTACAGGGTTTATACTGAGTTAAATATTGTATAACTGTATTAATTCAACAGTGAACTTAAAAATTTACAGCCACTTTTGAAAGAGATGTATCCTTGCTCTGGAAATTGTTACTGAATATGTTAAAGCTGTAATGAAATGCTTCTTCTAATCATGTGATTATTAAATTTTAAAAAATGTAAAAAAAAAAAACACCTATGTGTGGCAGTACACACCTATATTCCCAGCACCCTGGAGGCTGAGGCAGGAGAACTGCTATAAATTTGAGACTAGCCAGGAATATATAGAAAGATCTTGTCTAAAAACAAAGTTTCAGATAAAGGGATGATTGAATGCACACCAGGAAATGGCAGAGGATAAGAATGCCAGGGCGGGGGCTGGAGAGGTGGCTCAGCAGTTAAGAGCACTGGCTGCTCTTGCAGAGGACTCCAGTTCAAATCCCAGCACCCACATGGCAGCTGACAACCATCTGTAATTCCAGTTCCAGGGGATCTGACGCTCTCTTCTGACCTTGAGCACTGCTTGACACAGGTGCACTTACATACATGTAGGCAATATACTCATACATACAAAATAAAATAAATTAATTAAAAAATAAAGCAATTGATTCCAGAGACAGATCCCAAGTAGACATTTCTTTTTCCTCTCTGTTTTTCTCATTCCTTCTTTCCATTGTTCTCTCTCTCCCTCCTTCCCCCCCACCCTCTTCAGGGTCTCCCTGTAGACCTGGCTGGCCTGGAACTCACTATGTAGAACAGGTTGGCTTGAAACTTGTGATGATCCTGCCTTAGTCTCCCAAGTACTGGGTTGTAGGAGAGCAGCATCACATCTTTACTGTTTTGTTGTGTGTTTGTACAATAGAGTTGAAAGCAGTAGGAAGTTGAAAGACCAAACAACATGATCGAGAAGGTAAACCCTGGGTCTGCAACATGGCTCGGTGGGTAAAGATGCTTGCTGATAAGCCTGATGACCTGAGTTTGATCTCCAGGACTCACATGGCTCAAGAGAGAACCGACTCCTGCAAGTTGTCTTCTGACCGCCACATGTGCACCTATGTGCTTGTGTGTGCATACACACACACACACACACACACACACACACACACAGGTAAACCTGGTGGATATATTTCAAAATCCACATCTGAATGATAGAAACTATGTTTTCTTCTTGAGGACCCAGGCGACATTCACAAAAAGAGCTTTAAAGATCAGGAAGCATCCAGATGTTAGAACCACATTCAAATCTCAGCATTACTAATAGAAACAAGACACTGCTCTGCTGAGCTGACAATTCTCCCTGGAGGAGATGCTAGGCTCTGGGAGAACTCTGTCCTGGGGTCTCCGCAGTTCCCAGAGCAGCTGGGAGCTAGGGCAATGCCAAGGGCAAAGACCTGGGTGTGTGCCTGTGACCAGTCAGCAGAACTGACCCTGGAAAGCTGGAGTCACGTAAGGGTAGGGTGAAGTGTGAGAAGCTAGGCAGGATGGCTCACTGGTCCCACCAGGTGGAGTTTGCTGGGTGATGGAGTAAGAGATCCAGGCAGAAGTTCAGGTGAGAGAAGGGGAATTCTAGCTCAGATAGGGGAGAAATCCAGTGTCTATCTGAGCAGGGTACATCCTCAAGAAGTGAGAGGTGACCTGAGAGAGGTGTGGTGGATGGGTGACAGGTAGTACAGACTGAGAACATGGGATTCAGAACTGGGATTTTAGGGAGGAGGGGCCGTGAACAATACTGAGGAGCCTAGCTCATTCCCAAACCCAGAGGTCCCAAGGGTTTGGGAGAAAAACTAGGCCCACCTGAGGGGGCTGAGGTGGCCACAGGGGACCCTTGGAAGAATAGAATGGTGAGCCAGAGGGGTCTATGCTGATGGATAGTGAGGTTTTTCAGGTGATTGGGGCCCTGGCCAGGAGCTCCTGGGGTTCTTGGATGCCTTCTCCATCAGGATGGGTGGTGGAGGCTGGAGCAGGTGTTTTGTATGGCCTAAATGAAGAGAAGTTCTGGCTCCTTCCCTGCACCAAGTACTCTGGGCCTCTTGTGAGCTGTGAGGGGCAGTCAGGAGGACAGAAGCTGTGAGGTTGCCCTGGAGGAGGATGGAGGGTGGACAGTGGGGGCAGAGAGGGAGGGTGGGGCTAAGCACCTGTCCAGGGGAGTGGAAAAGTCCAGGAATGCAGCCACCAGCTCTGGGATGTGGTTCTGGGCCAGCAGGGTTATGGCACGCAGAGTGCTTTCCTTGGCTTGGGGCATGTGAATGGCACAGAGGTGGTGGTAGATGATTTGGCCCATTTTGCCAACCTGTGCAGAGAGGGCAGGGAGGAAGGGGAGAGGTCTGATGGGGAGTCCCCACTCATTCTACACATCTAGCTTGAAGGGAAGTCCCAGGACAGGACACTGAGGCATTTGAGATCCTTAGATTCTGCCCAAACTGCCCTACAGCTGCTGAACCCCCTTTAGCTTGCCTAAGTACACTGCATCCCATGTGCTCAGGGTCTTTGGGGCCCACTCAGTAGGTTAGGCCAACCTGAAGCTTCCTGCCTGCAAGGCTGATAGTGGTTGTCTCCTGCTGGAGCACCTCTTCCCATCCCACGGGGTTCACCATGCAGTTTCTGTATCTACCAGGCTGTCTTGTCCACTCCTGTCTGTGTGTTGTCACCCCCATCAGACCACAAGCTCCAGAGGATCTAGTCTGCCCTTTCTGCTGCCATGTCATTCTCTAGGGCCCACAGCAGCATTCAACCAGCACACATCTGCCCCAGGACCTGAAATCACCACCAGGCTCTAGCAGACTCTTAGGCTACTCCTGTATCCACTCATGCATCGACTTATCTATCCATCCACTTACCTATCCACCCATCCACTCACACATCTACCTATCCATCCATACATCTACCCTTCTACCCACTAACTCACCCCTCACCCATCTATTCATCCATCTATCTATCCACCCATTTATCCATCTATCCATCCATCCATCCATCCAATCACCCACCAATCACATCTATCCATCCATCCATGCATCCATACACCCACCCACCAATCACATCTATCCATCCATCCATCCATCCCCCCACCCACCCACCAATCACATCTATCCATCCATGCATCCATACACACACCCACAAATCACATCCATCCATCCATCCATCCATCCATCCATCCATCCATCCCTCCACCCACCCACCAATCACATCTATCCATCCATGCATCCATACACACACCCACAAATCACATCCATCCATCCATCCATCCATCCATCCAATCACCCACCAATCACATCTATCCATCCATCCATGCATCCATACACCCACCCACCAATCATATCTATCCATCCATACATCCATCTATCCATCCATCCATCCATCCATCCATCCATCCATCCATCCACCCATCCACCCACCTACTCATCCACTCCCCCATCCACCTATCCATCCATCCACCTGTCTCTCCACCCACCTGTTCCCCATCTATCCATCCATCCATACATCCATCCATTGGATTGGTTGCTGCCTGTGGTGGAATCCCAGTCTGCCCCATCCTGGTTCAGTGGGGGTCCTTGGATGCTGACTATGGCCTAGTCCCTCACTCTTCCCCCTTCCTCCCTGGCCCTCCCAGCTGCCAGGTCGTCTCCATGCTCCTGGATGACAAGGAAAAGCAAATCGGCAGCTGCTTGTACATGGCTGGGGCTGGTGGATCCCAGACCATCGATGACTGTCCAGATGAGATCAGTCAGCTCTGTCATCAAGAGATGACTCGTGATCTCCTAAGAGAGCAGAGAGGCTGTCATCTTGTCACCTCCAGCCCCTGTGACTCCCCTTTTCAAACTTCCCCTCTGCCAGACTCCCCAAATCTCTGGTATGCACTCCTCTAGGCTCCCCATGTGGGCCCAGCACAGGGTCTCTTCCACACCTTTCTTAACCAATGCCCAGGGGCAGGAAGGAGGGGGCAAGATGTTCAGCACAGGGTTCCTTTCCTCAACCAGCCCTGGTTTGTCCTGGGATGCTGGTGGCCCCAAAGCCATTCCCTTTGTGTCTTAGCTCTAGGTTGTCCTCATGTCAGCTTGAGTCCAGAGGGCCACCACCCATAGCCAGGCCCAAGTCCTTGTAAGGGTTTTAATCAAAGAGAATTGAACTTCAGAGTTGAGAAGGATCTTTCAGGTCACCTGGATTAACCTTGGCCTAGAGACATGCCATGGAGCAGGGTAGCACAGGTGGGGTTAGGTTGGTGTGGAACCCAGGGTTTCTGTCTCTATGTATGGCCTTGCTAGCCTCCAGCTATGCTTGGCTCCTACATTCTCTGGAGTCAGCCTAGTGGTGAGTCTCATGAATGAAAGCAGATCATGAGCCCTTCATGGGGTTGGAAAGACTTGAAACATAGCTATTCAACAAAACATCCTCACCATTCATAATAGCTTAAATCTATGATAGGCTTAAATTGATCTGTATTTAATAAAATGTTTAGTTACTTGGTATCCCTAGACTCAGTTCAAGTGCTCAGCCACTACATGTGGCCAATGAGTCCTGTGAACAGCACAGACATAAAACATGGTTAACCTTCCAGAAAGCACAAGTTAGAATGGCAAGACTCTCAGAGCCCCGGAAGACTATAGGAATGGCATGGACTTCTGTGTTGTTGAGCTTTAATCAAGACCTTGAATAACTGTGAGATGGTGTCATGATTATGACGACGGTGGTGATGATGATGATGGAGGGGATGGTGATATCATGGTGGTGGTACTAATGGTGATGATGGTGGTGGTGGTAGTGATGATGGTGGTGATGATATGGTGGTGGTGATGATGGGAACATTAGTGATGATATGGTGGTAATGATGGAGGTGATGGTGATATGCTGGTGGTGGTTATGACAATGTTGATGAAGAGGAATGGGGTAAAGGTGGGGATGATGTTAACGGTAGTGACAATGGTAATGATGTGGTGGTGATAGTGATGGTGATGATGGGGACATTAGTGATGGTGATGGCGGTATAGATGGCGATGGTGAGAATGCTGATGGTGGTGAAGAGGAAGAGGCATTAGTGATGATGGTGGTGGTAATGGTGATGGTGGTGATGATGGTAGTGATGGCAACGATGGGGGGTATTAATGATGGCAATGGTGGTGGGAGTGGTGATGGTGGTGATGATGATGGTGGTATTAGTGACGATAGTGGTGATGGTGGTGATGATGGTGGTGGTGGTGGTGCTGCTGCTGCTGGTGGTGATGATGAGGGTGATAGTGATGTTGATAAAGGTGTAATGTATTTCAAGACCACACGAGGAGTCAAGATAAACTTGGGACTTGAGTCAAGGCCCAGAGTGTTTGCCTCTCACAATAGCAGCCCCTCCTGTTCTTCCCCCTTCTCCCATCCAACCTTTCCCTGCTTTTTTCTAGGCACAGATAGAGCAGGCTTCCTCTACCTAGGCCCTGGACACTTTGCTGTCAGTGGCCCAGTCACCTTTCCTTCTGGGATCTTTCCCTCCCCACATCGCCTCTGCAGCCCAGGTTCTCTGCTGCGAACTGCACCCACACTAGGCTTTCTTTGTTGTAGACAGGCCCATTGATGTGCTGGCCCCAGAGGCTCAGATTTTCTTCAGTAAACTTCTAGTGGCTTCAGGATTTGGACAGCTCATATGGCTGCTGAAGCTGCTGATGTCACTGGGACCAGACCAAGCCTTGCTGGGGTACTTCCTAGCCATGTGCCCCACTTTGGCACCACTTGCTCTACTTGGCCATCATGGGTGTTTACTGAAAGCCAGTTCTACCCCCAGGCCCCATACTGAACCCTAGTGAGACCCCATTTCTTGTCTGGAAGGCTCAGGGTCTGACTAGGACTGTCAAGTATGCCGGTCACAGTGATTGTTCTTAGCTGGGGTTCAACCCCACCCGAGCAAGCGAAAACTACCACAGACTTCCTGAACTCAGAGCTCTGAGGTGGCTTTAACATGGGTCTCCCAGCCAATGCCAGCACCCAGCTCACACCAGTACTCAGCTCACAAGCTTCAGCTTGGGTGACTTCTGAGGATAACACGTCTAACCTTGATGTGGAGTGCGGAGGCTGTAAATGGGGTAAGTGCTACAGCCTAGAGATAGTCGGAAAAACTCATGGAAGGGACCTGAGATTCCTGTGAAGCCCCCAGCACATGACATACATGTGCCCAGTGTGTGCTGGTGTCTCCTCCAACCTGCCTGGTTCCCCTTTAACAGTACAGAGGAGAAGAGTGAGTTTATCATCACCCATTGGCAGTCTGTTTTGGCCACGCCCCCACCCAGTCTGCCTAGACTCTAAAGGCTTTGACCTTGATGGCTTGGGAGCTGCCCAGATGGAAGATGCTGTCGTTTGAGGAGATCATCTTCTTGGGAGTTGGGAGAGTACCCCTCTGATCTCCACTGCTCCAGAGGGCAGTTCTGCCAGCATCAGACTGGGAGAGCCCCTGGGAGGTCTCTCCCTCTGCCGCTGGAGTGTCTTCTGCTGGCCAAAGCATGATAAGGGTGAGGGCCATGGGGGTGGGGGTGGGGTCTAGGTGGGACAGGGCAGCAGTGAGGGTGGGATTGGGCCTGTGCACACTTTGGGTTTGGGGGTTGGGTAACTAGAAGGTTATGGCTGAAGTCCAGACTGGATTTGGGGCAGGGTTGATTTCAGGGGTGCTGGTATGACTCCACCCCAGGCTGTGACTGAGGAGGGGCCAGGTGCACTGTAGTGGAAGACACTCACCCTTCTGGTATATCAGAAGCTGGTAGAGGTGGCCTATTGCTTGCAGACTTGAGTGCTGTGTGGTCCTATCTGGGTTCTGGCATAGAAGCTCCAGCATGGCCACCAGCTGCCCGGTCCTTCTAAAGTTTTCCTTTGTCTATGTAGAGAGTGTGCTCACTGATGGTGGGCCTACCCACAGAGTCCCACCTGGTATCCCAGAATGATCCCTAGGGGATCCCTGAAATTGGGCCAATGGCCTGGGCTAGGCAAAATATAAGGACTTGATTCCAAAACTTAATAATCAAGAGAAATCAGGGCTAATGCAATTTAACAAAAACCAAAACAAATGTAAACTCTCCACGTTGAACAGAGGACCAAAGTCTCAATACAAGATCCAACCTTGAAATTATAGAACTCTGCCTGGCTTGCTTAACCTGACCTCAGCCCTGGTTCCCAATAAAACTTTATTTACAAAAATCAGTGTTTTACCTTGATTACGGAGTGTTTTTGTACTCAGCTCTATCAGCTTTTATCAGCCCCCAGGGCTTAGGCCTCCTGGCTAATCAGTTGGCACTAATTCAGTAGATGAAGGAGGAATTGTTCTTTCTTTGTGCTCGGCTGAAGTTCATTTGCCCCCAGAGCAATCGTAAGGGTGACATGGGGGCTTGTGTTAGATGAAGCAGTGGGCACGGGGCTGCTCCATGTGACTGGTACTGATCTACACCGGGTCAGCTTGCCAGCACATCCCTCTAGGGAGTCCTATCTGCCCATCTTACAGGAGAGATGCTGAGGCTGGAGAAGAAGCACCTGCTCCTGGACTAGAGTTGTGTGGACAAGAGTCCCACCTCCTGGGTTGGGGCCAGCTTCCGGACTTCCCTTAGCCTGGTACTTCAAGTGTAAGAAAAGGGTATTTAGGCTGTTCACTGCTGTGGGGCTCAGTCAAGTAGTAGGGCACTCAGAATCCACCTTGGCCTGGAGGCAGGGGTACAAGGTAGGAGGCCCTGCCCCTGACAGCATATGACTAGAGAATGGGGTTGGGGGTGAAGGGCAACAGGGTGGGGGTGAGGGGCTGCGGAGGTGAGGGGCTGTGGGGGTGAGGGGATACGGAGGTGAGGGGCTGGGGAGGTGAGGGGCTGTGGAGTGAGGGGCTGGGGACTGGTACCTACATGTATGCAGTGTTCATAGTTCAGGAATTTGAGGAGTGCTGTGCACCTGTGCATAGCCCGTTGACACTCATGAGTCTTCTCAGATGCCAGCCAGACGTGCAGATGCTGCAGGGTGGGTGAGGTTGGGAAAAGTTGCTGTGCTAGAGTCCCAGGAAGGGCCAGCCCCGTGGAGCCCAGCGGGGGAAAGGACCCTCCCACGGGTCAACAAGCCCATTTTCCACCGCTTCTGGGTCCAGCTTTTCCTGTTTCCTCTTCAGTCCTTGTCCCCAGAGCCACCTCTCAGGACTGGCCACCCCTGTGCCGCAGACTCATTCCCTCCTCCCAAAAGTGCTTAATCTACTGTGTGTGTGTGTGTGTGTGTGTGTGTGTGTGTGTGTGTGTGCCCCTTTCTATACCCTGCTGCATGTGCAGAAAACGGACACAGGAGCCTCAAGCAGAGGCTCGGTATTGATTTTAGAGTGCTGCATGGCTGAGGGGCTGTGTGGTCACTTATGCGGACACAGGATATTTGGAGATAAGAGTGATCTAGTGATGGCTGGGGAGACCGATGACTTCCACTGGTGGCAGACACCACAACTCAGGCACATTCCAGGAGTGGGTGCTACCTTGTTGCTTAGGTGCTTGCTCACTCAAGTTCTCCCTCTAGACTTCGGGGATGGGAGCTCCTGTTTGCTCTCCTGACTTCTTCACCAGGCCCTGGCCCTGCTGGCCTGAACTTCACTCTGGTCCCATTACCCTCCAGGCTCCAGCTTCCTCTACTCTGACCTGCTGAGCCTGTTCTACTCTCCTTGGTCCTGTGGTGCCCTTCTCTCGTGGATCTTCCCTGTGATGGCTCCTTGGTAAACTCTGACTGGCCCTGACTTCAGACCTGGGTGGAGCTGGGCTTCCTCCCTCTGGTTTCAGACCCTGCCACTAGACCTTCACTATCTGCTGAGTGCCCATGGAGGCATGGTACCCAGAGGGTGGGTGAAGGGGAGCTGCAGGATCCAGGCCCTTGAGGGGGCACAGTGGCATGGGCACATGTGGCGGGGGAAGCCACTTCCTCAGTAGACCCCTTTAGGCAAGGCTGACCTCTGCCTTACTGTCCCATCTAGATTCTCCAAAACTACACAGGAAGTCCTGCGCCCTGTGGAGCACCAGCCTTGGGGCTTTTGGGTCAGGGATTGCACCCCTGCCCCAGCCCCCTGCCTGGCAGCTCTCACCAACAGCAGGAAGTGCAGCTCATCGGCTGTGGGCTTCTGAAGCTCTGTAGCATGTGGTCCAGTGCTTCCATGGTCTGGCTGTACAGTGCCTGTGGGAGGGCAGGGGTCAGTCAGGCCAGGTGTGGGTGAGGGCTCAGGTCTGCTGTAGTGCCCAGTGGGCACCCACTTCCTGCACATCCTCAGACCAGGCTTTCACACCTGCCAGAAGTCACCACTGAGTCTACAAAGGGGTCCACCTGTCACACGGGTACACAGACGGGCCATGGAGCTCCCTTGGGGACCCACCCAAGGGCACAGGTGAGTTCATTCCAGGCAAGGCTGGCTCCATGGACATGTGGACATGTGGTCTGGGTTACTTCCAGGACCCTAAACTCAAACGGTACTGGCTGTAACTGCATTTTCTGTCCTGAAATTCATAGTAAGTTTTAATTGATTAATAAACTAATTAATTATAGTGCGTATGCCATGCCATGACATATGTGTGGAGATCAGAGGATGACTTTCTGGAGTCTGCTCTTTCCTTCCACCATGGGCTCTGGGACCAAACTCAAGTCATTAGGCTTGCATGACAAGCAGTTTTACTTGCTAACCATCTTGCTGATCCTCTTAAAAGTTGTAAACAAGGGTCCAAGTGTCAACTTTGCTGTGGCCCTGCAAAAGATCCAACTAACTCTGGTTTCTTGGGCTCATGAAGGGACATTCCTTCTCCCCAACAGTTTAACTAAAATTTTATTTCTCATTTTTATTTTATATGTATGAATGTAATGCCTGCACGTAGGTAGGTACATCCGTGTTGCACAATGCCTGCAGAGGTCAGAAAAGGGTGTCAGATCTCCTGGAACTGGAGTTACAGCCAGTTGTCAGCTGCCATGTGGGTGCTGGGAATCGAACCCTGGCCTTCTGCAAGAGCAACCAGGGTTCCTAACCCCTGGGCCTTTGCTCCAGACACCTCTACAATAGTTTTACTGACTTGCTTGCTGCTGTTCATGAGGGAGGGGCCACAGAAATGCCCCAGTTGGGCTCCCATCAGGCCACCAAGAGCTCTGGGTATTTGCTATCTAGTGACTTGGAGAGACGGCTTCACCTCCTAGGCCTGCGTTCTGCCACTGGGGTCACAGGAAGCCAGTCCTATGTGACAGAGCAGGACAGATGGGGTGGAAATGAATAGGAGCCTAGCCCAGTATCCCTAGCTCCCAGTGTGGACACCCAGGCCCTGGTTGTATTCTTTGCAGGACCAGAGTCTTACATTCACAGGGTGCTTTGGAAGACATGGGGAACAGACATTACCCATACCTCTGTCACTACCTGACCCACAGTGCTCCTTGGTCCAGCCTCAGAGGTGTGCACTACAAACTGCCCAGGGGCGGGGTTCAGATCTTGACTTTCCCATTACAGACTTTATCTTCCTGAGATGTGTCCTGTTCTCCAGTCACTATGGAAAGTGCGAAGTGTCTGCAGAGCCTGGGCAGGGCGCACTTAACAAAGCTGCCCAGCTTTCCCTTGTCAGGGACACTCAGGGCTAGGTCTATGCCCCACAGTCTCATGTGCTCCCTGGTGGTAGCCATGAGCCACTGCCGGCATCTCATGGCTGGAGTAGCTTGTATTGAATTGTACCCAGGTGGGGGTTGGGAGCTGTTTTCTGAGCTCCTTTCCCCCAGCCTAGCTAGGGTGATGTGGACCAGGTGAGTCCCAGAGGGCCAGGGTTCATGCAGGCTGGTGTGATGAGAGTGATCCTGCCTTTCAGGGAGGGTGACTCCTAGGTGTGACAGGACCTAGTGGCTGGGCTGATGTTCTTGAATCCCTATAACACTTGGGAATTCATCCCTTTGAGAGAGCCACCTCCCCTTTCTCTCTGAGTTCCTTGTGCTGCCATGAGGCTTAGAGGAGGGAAACACAATGGTCACACAGTAGCCTGTCATTTACAGCCTCGCAGATGCTGAGCGAGGGGTGCTGCGTCCTCCACCTGGCTCTTGGGTCAGCAGGGAGGCTGTACATACCACTATGTACAGAGCACCTGCACAGATACACAGCAGGTCTCAGTTCAAGCTGCATTATGTACCACGGCCCTCTGTTGATAACTTCTGTGTCCCAAGTGGGCAAACAGAGACCCAGTGCCTTAGGCAACTGCCCAGGGCCCCCACTCTGCCTGTGGAGTGACCTCTTCCCCCTCTCAGGCCATGCACAGCAGACTGAGCCTGATGCCCTGCTCAAGAGTGCCCTGCAAGCTGCACCTGGATATTGGGTGGTTCTAGGAAGAGGCATGTGTGCTTCTCCAGGGCGTCCAACAGCAGCAGCACAAAGATGCTGTGGAAGCAGGTGGTGAGGAGCCGGGATTTCTTGTCTATGTCCATGGGTGGCCTCAGCGCACTGTTGGGAAGACAGAGGGGCAAGAGCCTAAGGGCCTGGGATTGGAAGGGATCTGTTGGGGAGCACACAGTGGTGGGGCCCCTGGTACTCTGGCATCTGTCTCTAACAGTGCATAACGTACAACTTTTTGCTTTTTACAGCGACTAGTGCATAATCCACTTCCTTGGTCTCCTGCTGGCCCAGAATGTGCTAGCCAAGGGCCTTTTGCATGTGCTGTTCCTGTTACTGGGTACCTGTAGGGCTCAGACTCACTTTTCCAGGACTTTGCTTAATGGTCCCCTTTCAGCCAACTTAAGTCAGACTCTGTGTCCTGAAGTCTGCAGAGCACCAGGCTCATAGGCTCACTGTCGATCAATGCTCCTAGGGCAAGCTGTCAGCACCAGCTCCCGTACCCCTCAGCCCCACGAGGGTGTTACATCCCTCTCTGTCTCCCTCTTTCAGTACCTTCCCCTAACCCTGTTGTGGCATGTGTAATGATCAGGGATGTTCCTTGCTGGCTCCCAGCTGGGTCCCAGAGCCCAGACAGTGCCTCACACCTAGGCTGCAATAGTGACATGTACAGCAGGGCGGATTTGGAAGGGGCGCTGATCATTAGAGGGGCTGGGAGAGGCAAAGCATCTGGGTGGCGATGGGCTGTGAATCCAGGCCGAGTGGATGCCTGCCTAGCATCCCCTCCACTCGGCCCGGGACCATGTGAGCCACCAGCTGCCTGCCTGTCTTTTCTGGCCTCACCTTCCCTCTGATCTGTTGGTGGAGAGCTGAGCCAGGATGTGTCTCTCTGGCTCTAAGGCCCCCGAGTCCCCGGGCTTCCTGCCTCTCTCCCTTTCCCTGGGGCTTGATTGGGTTCTAGATGCAGCTGCCCCTTGGGTAGCCTTAGTGGAGTGCCTGGGGGAAAGGGTCAGCCTACTCTGTGGACTGGCTGTGCTCGGGCCTAATGCTCCAGACCCTTCCCTGTCCCACACTGGCTCAGGCTGCAAGCTTTGCACTGCAGGGCCTTGATATCTGACTTCCCCCGATCTGGGTCCCCTGTTAGCCGCCCAGGCAGAGACCTGCTGCTTTGAGTCAGACAGCCCTCCACAGACTGGGACCTACCAGAGGCTGGAGACGATGTGGAGACCTGCTGACGGCTGCTGGTGAATAGTGTGTCCTGTAGTTCCTTCTCTGTCACCATCTGCACCAGGAGAAGGCGCAGGGGCTCAGACCTGGCTGATCCCACTTTTGCCTCAGGACCCCAGCACCCCTACAGCCCACATGAGGATGCCTCACATCTTTACCCACCCATGAGCCTCTGAGACCTGGGCCCCACTTAGGGAGCTAGTCAAGGCCTCTGGAGTTAGGAAGGCCAGGTCTGAATCCTGGATACCTGGTCCAAGTTGCCTGACCCTGGACTAGCTCCAGGCTGCCCTGAGCCTTGTTTCCTCATAAATTACTCTGCCTTGCTGCTGGATCCCGGCAGGGGCAGGAGCCGCGCTGCCTTGATCAACGCTCTTTGCTCCTGACAGTACTGTCTTCTGCCCAGTAAGGCTGCTGGTCTGAGGGAGGAGGCTCTGTCTGGGAAGACTGGTGGTCTGAGAGAGGCCCTCATGTACTTAGAGCCTGGCACGCACCGTCAGACACTCCAGGACCTGGCAAGTCTGAAAGAACACATAGCTGTGGGCACCTTCGCTCTGGCCGATGGCCCCTACCAGCCTCAGGATGGCGTTGAGGAAACTGTGCTTCAGGATTTCATCCTGTGTAGGATGCCCCAGGGCACAGGTCAGGCCGAAAGCCCGGGAGCATGTGGGAGAGCAAGAATGGAGGCCGAGGCCGCCATTGCCAGGCGAAGCTGGCTCAGGGTGAGAGGGATGTGGCTGGGGGCCCATGGGTCAGGTTTTGTTTTAGACCAGGGGTGTGCTCTTGTTTTAAAAATGTGAATGAGGTCAGCCTGGCCAAACAGTGAGAGTGGTGGTCTCTGGGGTGTGGTAGCCGCAATCTTGATGGCAAGAGTTGCTGACCAGCTGTATAGCAACCCAGGCTATGGTGAGCCATGGAGGCAGGTGTTGCCCTGGCCTCTCAGTACCCATCCCCCTTCTCCCAAGGTTTGCCTTATGAGAAGTGGGGGATGGGGTCCTTGGGAAAGCCTAGAGATCTTTTTAAGGATGATGGAGGCAACCCAGGAGGCTGGGCCTGGCTCTTTGTGGTTCTGGGAGGAGTGGGCACTGGCGAGGTGGGCTGCAGGCCAGGTGCAGCCGTGGTCCTCTGATTTCTGCAGTTTGGGCAGGGCAAGGTTGGAGTCCTGGTTCTGCTTTGGGGGAGGCGTTAGGAGGACTGGCATGGTGGTGGGCATGGCGGCCTGTACGCAGGTGCTGAAGCGGAAGAAGAAGATCATCCTGGATAAGATGTTGTCCACCCATGGCAGGATGTGGCTCTTGGCCTTGGCTGCCATCTGGCTGTAGGAGAGGAGGATGGTGCTTCTGGCCCATTTCCACCACAGGTGCTTGGGGCTCTGGCCATGGGACCAGGTAGGGGTGGAATCTGTGTCAGGCCTTGCTGATAGTCTGAGAGGGGTTACCTGGATCCTAGCAGGGTGGGACAGGTAGGGTGTCCAGATGGTGAAGGGTCTTTGTGGCTCCTTGTGGAGGTTGGGACTGTCTATGGTCGTCAGACACCAAGTAGGATGCTTGTCTCTGCAGAAACTGGTAGAATTGGGACACTTCCTGTGATTTCCCCAGAGCCTAGCATCCTTTTCTTACTGAATGAGACAACATCTGGTACACCAAACCCTTGTGGACCGCTGGGGGCCTGGGACGATCAGGTTCCTATCCAGAGAGACAGTAATGGGTCACGTGGAGCTTCCTGTTTGGGTTGTGGTCCAGAGTCACTCCTCTATGTCAGCAGGGTACTATTATGGTGATTTGTTTATCAGCACCAGGTACCCTCTGAGGGTCTGGGCAGATCCTCTGGAGACCTCTGGCCCTCTCCGGGTTGCAGGGTCAGTCATGAGCAGACCTGCATGGGCAATGAGAGGCTCTTTCCCTTTCTGTGTCCCAAGGGATGTCTGTAGAGTGTTTCCCAGGAACTGCATCTTCCAGAGGGAACCACGTGGGGTGCATGCACTTAGGCAGACAGGCATGGGGCTGCCACCTGTTCACAAGCCACTCTCTGGCCAAACATCTCAGCTTTTGAATGAGTCCCTTGCCCCAGGACCAACCATAATCCTGCAGTCAGCCATCACACAGCACAGCGAGGCTGCCACTGCTCAGCACCTGCCGTGTGTGAGGGTCTCCATGGCCATGGCGTTCTGACACCCAGGGAGGGAAAAATTCTGCTCAGGAGGAGGAAACTGAGGCACAAAGGGGTCTCATGGGGTTAGTACTGGTGGGAGTCAGAGTCCATGGTCCAGACACCATGCTCTTCTCACACTCAGGGAGTCCCAGCTGGAGGCCCTGACCTTTCAGGCAGGGTAGACGCCCATGTGCTCCCTCCCCGCCAGGAGCCCTTAGTTGATACCGTCAGAGAGAAGTCCTGCAGGCTCCACTTGATGGGTGTGCTCTGCCCAAACTGTTCCAGCATGGACCAGGTGTCCTCCAAGTGGAGGACTGCAGCCAATCCCACTGTGAGAGCAATACCCTGTGGGGAGGGAACCAGGGTTACTGGTGAGGGTCTTCTGAGGTCTGAGGACCTGGAGTTAGTGCCTCTCCTAGTCCACCAGCAGATGGCAGTATACTTCCTGCCCTCACACACTTTAGGACACTCAGCTCTGAGCCCAACTCTGTAGGAGTGTGTCTTGTCTCTTGTGGGGGAGGCAAGAAGTAGAGGGGAGCCCTAGGGGCTGATGGTCCCTTATACCGGTTCTAAGTAGACGTAGACATAAGTCAGGGGTAGGAATGAAGAGATGTGTAGGAAGGGAGGAGATAAGATCACGGTTTAGTCTGTGACTGGGTCAGTGCTCAGGCTGTGATCAGGGCTCAGGGTTCAGGCTAGGACCAGGATCAGGGCCCAGTGTGTGATCAGGACCAGAGATCAGGCTGTGACCAAGGTAAAAGTCTATGACCAAGATCAGGGCTCAGTGTGTGAGCAGGATCAGGGTTCATTGTGCGAGCAGGATCAGGGTTTAGTGTATGAGCAGGGTCAGTGTTCAATGTGATCACAGTCAGGGCTCAGCGTGTGAGCAGGACCAGGGCTCAGTATATGACAGGATCAAGGCTCAGTATGTGATGAGGATCAGTACTCAGTGTGTGATAGAGATCAGGGATAAGCATGTGACCAGGATTAGGGCTCAGTGTGTGACAATTACCAAGTCTTGGTTTGGGCCAGGAAGTTGGGGGACCAAAGGGGACTGGGTTCTCACCTCCCGCTGCTTGGGCCACTGGTGAGATGTTTCCAGGAGGGTCTTCAGGTGTGTCCTGACAGTGGTGCTGTCCTCCTCTGCTTGAAGGATCAGCCCGTAGTAGGGAACCGGAAGGCCTGGTGGCAGGTTCAATATCTTGTCCTGAGCTGGACCCACCTGGCCTGGGCGGCTGCCTGTGAACAGTTCCCCAGACCACACTCCCCTGGGCTCCCTGACCCTGTTGCCCACCCTTCCTGCCCTGCTTTGGGACAGGCTAAGCCCCAGCTTGTGGTCAGCTAGGGGAAATTCAGTTCAGTTTCCCAGGCCTGGTTCCTGCTCCCTTTAGAGTCTCCAATTTTTCCCTAGGGCTCTGTGTGCCCCTGGGCCTGTGTGGAGGGTGGATAGGGGTTACTGGGGGCATCAGGGCCCACCTTCTCTGGGGTCTGCACTTGCTGGATCTGGCTAGACTTGGTAAGTGTCCATAGCAACTCCTTGGACCACACATCTGTGTTCAGGAATGGCACCGACTTGCTGGCCATCTGTGAGCAGACGGGACAGCACCTGGAGCCACTTTCCCCAGCCCAAGAACCCCGAGTCCATCATTTCCTGTCTCTCTCCACCCCTGGGTCTCCAGGACCCAGTTCTCTTGCTTGTTGGATGGCCCTTAGAGGTGAAAACATTCCTCAAGCTACCCTAGATATGTTCTGGGTGAGGCAGGCTATACATAGCCTGGGAGGCTGCAGCCTGGCGTCTAGTCATGTTCCCAGCACGAGATGGGGTCTTGGACAGGACATGCTCGGTGCCAGCAAAGGCCACCCTTGGGCAGGTGAGCTCCAGAGACAGGACTCAGTCTGTTTCGTTTGCAGTGTGTGTCCCGTGCCCGGCATGGTCCTGGCCTATGGTAGTGCTCTGTTGTCTCTTAATGAAATGAGCGATCAACTAAATGAATGATATTCTTTCAAAATATAGGATGTTGGAAGTTCCTGATCTTAGCATGACATGACATTTTAATGATGGCTACAAGATCTTTGTATTCAATTCTCCCAGATTCCACGAGCTAACAAGTTTGAGGACTTCATTCCCAACACTCCTCTGATGTCGAGGATACTCCTCAACCCCGTATTTTCTATCAGAAAATATTGATAGATGTGATGATAAATCTTCAAAGAAGTTTGCTAAGTAAAACCATCACAAATTAAATAGAAAGATATAGTTAAGTTGAGAAGATGTTGCTGTCATTGCTAAGAGCTAAAACAAATATTAAAAAATAGCACATTCAGGGCTGGAGAGATGGTACAGTGGTTAAGAGCACTGGCTGCTCTTGCAGAGGACCTGGGTTCAGTTCCCAGCATCCACATGGTGGCATCCACAGGCAGCTTTACCAAAATGGCAGGTTTCAGGTTCAGTCAGAGACTGGTTCAAGGCCATAAGGTAGAAAGCAGTAGAGGAAGACCCCGATGGCCAGATGGGCATGCCCACCTACCCATGTAACACACCAGACGCTCCCAAAATAAACATTAGAAAAGAAATGACAAGATGATGCATCATGCGGGCCAGGACTGAGAAAGATTGCTGCGTAATGGCTTTTCGATCAACTCTGGACCACAGACAGCGAGGGCCTGTTAAGCTCCAACAGAGCTGGGAGATTTCTGCTGCAGCTATTGTAATGTAGCTCATGTGTTGTGGCGACACTGGTGGGAACAGACTTACAGTGTCACTGATCCCATCAAAGCATGGCACATGCAATTACATGTGGTGTACGCGTTCCTTGATCAAGATAAATGACTCTGTTGCCTGCCTATGCATTTACTCTTTGATTATTACTTGAGTGTGAGTGCACTTCCTGCTTATAAAAAAGCTGTCTGTATAACAGTGTCAGCCAGCAGTGGCCGCATAGCCTGTGTATACGGTATCTCATTTGCACTGAAGCCTGGAGAGCCACTGGTCTGGGCTTCTCCTGCTTGCACTGCAGCTTCATTGTCCAAGGGATTTGTAGCTTCAAGGAAGTGTCCTTTGGTGTCAGAGTGATGGAATCTATCTATCATCTCTCTCTCTCTCTCTATCATCTATCATCTATCTATCTCTATCTATCATCATCTATCTACCTATCTATATCATCTATCTATCTATCTATCTATCTATCTATCTATCATCTATCTATCTATCTATCTATCTATCTATCTATCTATCTATCTATCTA